ATGAGCTTGAACTGCTGACATTGCAGTCCAGCACATTAACTCATAGCACCACACCAGGATGCCTAATACTAGTAATTAATAGTATAATAAATGCCTTTAAGTCATTTCTCACTCATAGCGACCCTGTATAGGGTTTCTAAGGAGCAACTGGTGGGTTTGAGCCCACGGAGCATTTGGTTTTCAGTCCAGTGCTTATCCTATAGAGCCACACCAGGATTCCAGAGGTGCTCTGGGAACCCATTAAGTTCAACTTTATAGGTAAGGGGGGGAAGGAGGGGAATCCTCTTCTACCCCATGGTTTCCTCTTGGTGACTGCTTTGTAGAAATATCCTACAAAGTGAGACACTCAGTCACCTTTTAAGAAAACTCATAGAAATGGAGTCCTAGTGTGGCGCTGTAGGATAAATACTAACTAGACGGCAGTTCAAACCCACCAGACCTGACACTCTGGGAAACCATAAACAGGGTCAGTATGAGTGAGAAATGACTGAGAAGCAGCAACAAAAATGATAAACGTTTTTTTTCTGTGGGTTAGGGGAGGGTATCCACAGACAGCATGGCAAAGGAAATTGCATTGAGAGTGAAGATAACTTGAGCTCTGGTCCTCCCTATCCTGACAGATTATATACCCAGCATCTCCAGCTCCTCACGATTTCGCCTAACTAGAGTTGAGTCTAATGTACAGCCCTGTCTAGTTTCATTTCTTTATATTGGGTTATTGGTCCTACACTGATTGATAGTCTGGTAAGGTTCCTTTCCATGAACAAACACCCAGAGGCTCTTGATGGCTTCTGCAAGTCCTTGTCTGGGTAAGTTTGCAGCCTCTGAAGACTTGATACCTGGTTTCGAATTCTGGCTAGATGACTTGCTGTCTCTATGTATTACCTCAAAGGTGATTGTGAGGAAATCATCACCTTAGCATAGGGCCTCGTACCAATAAAATGTTTCATAAATGTTAGCTGCTTCATAGTACTACTGTTACAGAATGTTGTATGGAGGTGAATTATTTCTCCCCTCCTGTTAACCCGTAATCTTGTCACCTAAAACTTGATGAGAGGTGCTTCTGTGGCTAAGTGGAGTGCTCGCTTTGCATTTGTGTCCAGAGTCTTCCAAATTGGCCATCAGTCTCCTCCAAAGAGCCTAAATGAGGCAAAGCCTCTTCTCTCCTATTATTTATAATATAAATCTCTTCCTTCCTTGCAGAGGAAGCAGAGAGTACATATTAAGCTGCACTTAAGATGGTCCGTATTGCTTCAGACTATAGTGTAGGTGTGTCCCAATGAGTACAGAAAATTGATCTTCTAAACCAACTGAGCTTTGGAATTTTTTAAAAGACATTTAGTTGCCCCGAAGGGTTATCAAACAGGCGACTCAGGAAGCTGTTTTTCTTTGAGACAAATTCCAACAGAGGCTCTTACAGGGCATCTTTTAGGGTCTCTGTTAATGGGGCTGTGAGACTACAAGACTTGAGAAGGTTTGAGCAATTGAACTCTGAACCAGCCACTGTTTTTTGCTGAGCTGGTGGCTGGAAGACATCCTGCATCAGGGCTCTGGTGGGGAAGATACATTGTAGAATATGTCTGCTGGAGCTATCTCTTATAGACTCTGCAGGTCCCAAGAGATCCGAGTCATCATAGGCCGAGATCCTTCCTCCACTTTGGCTTCAACAGCAGACCCAGATGTTGACAGCTGCCTCTGGAGGGACATGGGAGTCAGTTGATGCCAATATCTTCATTGCCAGCAGCAGCTGTTCCCACCTCCCTTGGTTTCCTGGTGGGACTTTTCCATGAGTTGGGGAATCTGCCCTTTGATTCCAGCTGGTTTTTTTTTTTTTTTTTTTTTAAACCCAAGTAATAGTCCTGGTGTGGCGCTGTGGGTTTTAAGCCATTTGAACTGCAAGGTTCAAGCTCACCAGCTGCTCCTCAGAAACCCTATACAGGGTTGCTATGTGTCAGAATCGACTCTATGTATGTATTTATTGTGAATTGAGTGAAAGTTTACAGGGCAGATCATCACCAGTTCTATATTCAACAAATCATATATACTTTGTTCCATTACAATGATTATAATCCCCTCCATGTACCATCAGTTAACAGTGTTTCTCTCTATTCTTTAGCTTTTTTTTTTTTAACACTCAGACATACATAATAATTTACACCACCAAACGGTACATTCTGCAAGTCTGCTTCCTGGCTGCTATCTCTCAATCCCTCTCTTCCCATGAATCTAGAGTCCTTAGCTGCTCCCTCTCTCCATGTCTCTATCTCTGCTGTTGCTGCCTCACTGGATAAGGTCTCGCATTCCACTCGTGCTCTTCTCCTTGATGGTGTATTGTTTTTGCAAGGGTTACTGGTTATGGCTAAGACATCAGCCTGACATAGGTGAATCTTGTCCTGTGCTTTTGTCGGCATTTTCCATTCTTAAGCCTTGTCACACCTTTTCTGCCGGTATATTTACCCAGGCTTGAGATCAGGACTCTTAGGCCCTGATTTCTTGACCCCCAAATCTGTTTATTCTGATAACAAGGTCATGGGGCCTAAACTCAGAATAAGTGGGTAAGGTTGAAGTAGCATTTCCTAGAGTTCTTGTCCCATAACCAGCTTGATCCTTGGGAAGAAGCTCTAGAGTTCTCTATTGATGATTGCTTGCCTATCCCCATCACCCTCCCCAAGGGAGGCTCCTTGACTCTTTAGTAATAGACTTGCCAAACACCTAAGCCAAATTCTGCCACAGAGGCATTTCCTATTCAAAGTGATGCTCTGGTTTCATCTGAAGGAAACATGGAGGCAGGAAGACATTTTTACAAGATGGGGAAAACCCATATTGTAAAGAAAGATATCGGCATCCTTTAAGTAGATAGGGGCGTGGGAGCAAAGCCAATAGTTCCTATTTGTGCAAAGCATGAACTATCAGTTAACTGAGCATTGAACTTTGCATTCAGCAGTATAGATGATATACAGATGAGAGCTTTGTGGATCAACTCCCTTTCATCCCCTACAGGAACTTTTCGTTCAGAGCTAACTGTTTTAGAGAGGCTGGAAAGCAACTGAGGGAAACTTGTCCTCCCCCCAAATATTTACTTTCTGGTCAACCAGTTGTTCCCAAGTAGAGAAGAATAATGCCAAAATGCCAAGTTGTCTTGAATGTCACACCCTCTGACCCTCCCACTCCTTACTGCAGACCAGCTGTTATTGTAAGTTCTGTTAAGTGCCATTAGTCAGTTCTGACCCTATATAGGGTTTCTGAGGAGCAGCTGGTGAACTTGAACTGCTGACCTTATGCTTCAAACTGACCTTGCAGTCTAGTGCCACACCAGGTCTTCATTGTAGACATGTAGACACTTGATAGGTATGGATGATAGGCATTCTTCTGGGAAAGAGCTTCATTCTCCTGTGACTGGAATATTGGGATGGACCCAACCAACAGTATTCCAAGTATGGAGGGATTTGGGATTAACTGGAAGTGGAAAACCACACCACCTTTGAGAGAAGGATGAGCATAAGGCAGTTGAGCAGGATCATCTCCTAATTAGAGCATCATTTGCACCTTGAGAAAGCATTTACTTTCACCCCAGCTCATAAGACTTGAATCCAATGGTCTTTTTTTAAAACAACAACAACAAAAAAAACTTTCCCCATGATCTACTCCCTCCTCTGACCCCGGTTACCCCTTGGGATTGGTAAGATTCAGTGTGGAATCTTCCCAGAGTCTAAAAATTTTTCCTTGGATTCCAAATTGTATCCCCTTGAGCAAGAGGTCTTGACCTTCTTCTATTTCTTTAAACTGATCTCCAGTTGAATTCTGAATGTAAAGGTCAGCAGGCAAGGAAATGGCACTTCTAATAGAAAACAATGTGCACTTTCTAAATTTGAACCAAGCAGTTTCCGCTCTTTGATTTAAGTGACTTCCTGGGGTTCCGTGTCAGGCACTGCAGTTGAATCTCTGGCCAGATTCCAACTTAAAATTGTACTCTTGGTGAAATTAGAAACTGATCCAGGGTTGGCTTAGCTATTCTAGTAAATAGCATTTAGGCTGAATGTTCAGCTCAGCCCTTGGACATGGGTGATCCCCTTGAGAGGATTTCCCATCCCAAGTTGTCAGGAGCTTACCTATCCAGAGGTGATTAGCCATTGGAGATTGCTGCAATTAGAAGTGGTGGTAGTAAAGTTAAGATTCCCCAAACCACAGCATCAGATACAGCCTCCTGCTCTTCATGTGAACATTTGAAAACAGACTTCCTGAATCCAGCTGATCAACTCCATGGGTCCTTGGCACCAGTGCAGTGCATAGCACACAGTGCTTAATAACTCTGAGGAAATGAAATCTTAGTAGTTACTCTCTGGCAGTGATGAATTATTGAGCACTTGCTGTATGCCAGACAATATAGTAGGCATTTAACTTGAAATTTTTCCTCATTTAATCCCCATGACCCATTCTGCAGATGACAAAACTGAGGCATTCAAGGTAACACTGCTAGGTGGGATGGATGTTGAGTTTAAACTGGCTTTGATTCCAGATCTTCTGCTTATAACCATTTGCCTATAAAAGGATCCTTAAACAAGTAGCATGTTTCACAGGGGTTAGCAAAATGGACTTGGCCCAGGTTTGGATTTGTGATTCAGTTAGTTACTAGTTTTAGTTTGTGTAACTTTAGGCAAGTTATTTTCAATGTTAGCTTTCTTGATGATGAAAGGAGTTTCTAATTGTAGCTACTTTTTTTTTTTTTTTAAGGGTGAGCGTGCCTGGCATACAAACTAAGTGCTCAGTAAGGGCTATTTCTACTATTATCTTTATTTTAACCATCTATGTACTGGGAAGTGGCTTGAGAGTCCACTGAGGGAAATCTGTTTCCATTTCAGTTGGGCTCCCAAGAAGCTGATGTGGAAGTGTTGATAGCAAGCAGCATACTGATGGCTGGAATCCATTCTCTCTTCTCTACCCCCTCAACTTCACAGGGTCCCTAGGAATCTATTCTCCAGCAGTCCAGGATCCCCAGCCTCATGGAGCCCCCAATCCCACAGAACGCCCCGTCGGCTCCCAGCTCAGTCATGGTCCAGCCTCTCCTTGACAGCCGAACACCCCACGGCCGGCTCCAACACCCACTCACCATTCTGCCTATTGACCAGATGAAGACTAGCCACGTGGAGAATGACTACATAGACAACCCTGGCCTGGCACCCCCTGGGGCCCCCAAGAGAACCCGTGCTGGGGCCCCAGAGCCAGCCCCAGTGCCCCCCCGCTGTGACCAGGATGTCACCCACCACTGGATCTCCTTCAGTGGGCGCCCAAGCTCTGTCAGCAGCAGCAGCAGCACGTCCTCTGACCAGCGGCTCTTAGACCACATGGCACCACCACCTGTGGCTGACCAGGCCTCCCCACGAGCTGTTCGCATCCAGCCCAAGGCCATTCACTGCAAGCCCTTGGATCTCAAGGGTCCAGCAGCTCCACCTGAACTGGACAAACACTTCTTGCTGTGTGAGGCCTGCGGGAAGTGTAAGTGCAAGGAGTGTGCATCCCCCCAGACGTTGCCCTCCTGTTGGGTCTGCAACCAGGAATGCCTGTGCTCGGCCCAGACCCTGGTCAACTACGGCACTTGCATGTGCCTGGTACAGGGCGTCTTCTACCACTGTACCAATGAGGATGATGAGGGCTCTTGTGCCGATCACCCTTGCTCCTGCTCCCACTCAAACTGCTGCGCCCGCTGGTCCTTCATGGGTGCCCTCTCCCTGGTGCTGCCCTGCCTGCTCTGTTACCTGCCCGCCACCGGCTGTGTGAAGCTGGCCCAGCGAGGTTATGACCGCCTGCGCCGGCCCGGCTGCCGCTGCAAGCACACGAACAGCGTCATCTGCAAGGCGGCCACCGGGGATGCCAAGGCCAGCAGACCCGACAAGCCTTTCTGACACTTTGGGTCGAAGCCCCAGCATGCCCCATGGTAACTTGGTTCCCTTCAGACACCTGAGACGACCCGCAGTGAGGCCACCCTTGCTCATCCACTTTATTCCCCTTTCCCCCATAGCTGTGGAAGAAACAGACCACCATCACCCATCCCTTAAGCCCCAAAAGGATACAGAAGCACTTTGGGGTTTTTTCAGGGTCTTGGAACATTGTGTCAGACAGACGGCGCCAGGGCTGGGGCGTGGTTTGGGCCGGGTATGTGGATTTTTTTTTTTTTTCTTCTTCTTCTTTCTATTTTTCAGAAGACAGAACACAGATATGGACACATCCGGAAGTTGTAGCTGCTTGAATGCCTTCCCGGTCCCTCCTCCTTCCCTCCCTCTTTTCCATTCTCTTTGGCTCCCATAGTTGCTGGCTTCCAAGGAGGAATCTTTAACTGAGTAGCCCAGGGTACCTGTGAAGATCTTTGGAGCTTTGACTTCAGTCCCCTTTCCTCTTGCTCTTCACCCACCCAGTTTGCCCCCGACATCTTGGGGAAGGTGTAGTTTACTGTAGCAATCCTGATGTATATATTTGGGGAGCCCATGGAGGACGCCAGTGAGTCCATGTCTTGCTCCTCCTCCTCCCTTTGCCGTTCTGGAGCCATGGGATGGATTCAGGAGCTGCTCCACGTTGCATTTCTCCCTCCAGCTTCCTCACTAACTTTTGTGGGTGTTCCACTCCCAGTACCGCCCTATGGTTCTGACCGACTTTACAGGCTCACCTGCCCACTACATGTCCTGAGTTCTCTCTACCCCAGATCTTTCCAGAAACTTCATGGATAGAGGCCAGGGCAAAAAATGCCAGACCAAATAACATTTTGCCAATGAGTTTGAGGCTGTGGTCTCTGGATCCAGTCTTTTTGTTTTTTATAGAATAATTAAACCAGATGCTAAAGGTGTTCTAAAAAATAATAGAAAAAACACTTGCTTCCTTTTGGGCCACCCCCCCAAGAAGGGCTGATTTCAAAATCTGGGGGACAAGCAACCTCAAGGAAACACCATTCCCCTCCCCACCATGAAGAGGATTTCAACAACAAAGAAGAGAGGCAGTTCCTCCCATTGGCAGAATGAGAGTCAAGCCGAGCTAGGTTTCGGTTTCTTCTCTTCTGCTGCTGCTTGCTCTCATTGCCTTCTGTGTATAGTGATGTGTCTGTATCTTCAATGTAAATAGAGAGAGGATGACAAAAGAGTCTTATTTTAGTGTTAGGAAGCCCCAGTCAGAAGATCACAGGTGGGGAAGATTTTTTTTCCGGGTGCTTCTGGGGTTGAGCCCTGCTTCTGTGTGTGGGCACACTACCCTCTGGCAGTCCCCAAAGACATAGCCACTCATTCTCTCAAGGTGCTAAAGGACTCAGAAAGTGCAGCACGTCCAGTGGGTAGGTACTTGTTGCATGCAAAAGCTGTCGTGTGTCTGGTCTTTCTTCCCCAGATGTTATGTGGGATTTTTGTTCTGTGTGGTATTTTTGCTCTTCCCCCTCCCCCCCCCCTCCTAATAAGAGGAAGCAGCCTGGGTTGGGGAAAAACTACCCTAGGTGAAATTAGGAATGGTATCAGGCAGGGCATTTGTAGCATTTCCAGTTTGTTCTGTAGAAACAGAACTGCCTCCAGGAAGAGGAGGCCGGTAGGTGTCATTGGCATGTACCTTGTACTTCTCAAGGACTTTTGTTTTTTCCTTTTGAAGACTAGTAAGTAACATCTTATAATTTAGAATAAGTTAATTGTAACCATAGGTATTTATTGATTGGAGAAAGGGAGGGGAGGGTCTTATTTTAGGCTTTATTTATGTAATGTTTGCTAGCTTGTAAAAGGTAAATATGAAAAATTGCATTTTCTAAGGCTGACTCATATGTAACTACCCTTCCCATAGTAATCATGGACAGACAAGACAGATGGATGAATGTTCTTGCACAAACCAGAGAGCATGGTAGAAAGACCTATTCAGCCAACCACTTATTATGCTAAATGAATGTATCAGATGTGTACTGAAGGGACTAGAGATGTCCTCAGAATAGGTGTGCAGAAGTTAACCCAAACATGATAGTGCATGCGTATTCTCTCAGCGAGGCCTCCGAGCTTTCCCAGGGCCCGTTCCTCAAATCGCTCCCATGGGAAACTAGACCCAGTGGCAAATTGCACTTTGGTAATCTTGGTGGTCTACATGCCCATTCTGTGGAGAATTGATTTGTATAAGCTGTGTATGCACGTACACACACACACACACACACACCCTTCACACAATTAACCCCATACCGACCCTGTACCTTCGTAGACCTGTTTCTGCAAGGGGCTTCCTGAACCCTGACTTTTGTGTACATAGTTGTAAACACGGATTTTTCTGGGTTTTGGTTTGCTTTTTAAAAAATCCTTTTTTAATATTATTGTCCCCATTTTGGCTTGTTCTTTTGGTTTGTGTTTAACCTGTTAGCTGGATGTCTGCAGAACTCTCCTAAAGAGTTCACATCACTACCCTTGTGTTCAGTGTAAAGTGGTAAAGGGAACCTATTTGGTTCTCCAGTTTTGTTTGTATAGCAGTGTTGTTTTTTCCCCCCTCGTTTGGCTCTATGGCCACCTGTCAAACCTCTGGGCCAGTCAAGAGCCATTGATGGACTACATTCAGAAAGGAGACATTCCTGTGGGGGGGGGTTTGGTTACTGCTGCCAGCAGCTTGCCTTTGCCTTACCTTAACATTTTTGAAAAGTGCTCCCTGGTTCACACTTGTGTTCAACCTGTGGTGGGTGGTGGTTCTGCTGGGAACTGGGAATCCATAGCCTGTGTCCAGGATTCTTCTCCTAGGGACTCTTGGCTGCCCACCTGGGCCTTTCGAGATGTCAAAGTGTGTGTAACCAAGGAAGGGGTGGGAGTGGTGGTGGTGGTGAAGACCAAACTGCTGCTTACACCCTCTTCCCAGCCAGCAGAGATGGAGAGTGCCTTCACCAGCTGTGTCTCATCCTCAGTGCTACAGAGTGTGTGAATTCCTATTGGACAGTCAGTAGACAGTGACTTGTTCAACATTTCACAATGTGGGAAGTGTTGGTCTATACCAGATCCACTAGAAGCTTTTTGTGTTCTACTCTCACACTGCCCCAGATGTGTCTGATGAGTGTAGGCACCATAACCTAGCACTGTGCAAATCCACTAGGGCATTCTGCAAGCTGCATCGGCCTTTTTCTTCCTGCCTTTGGTAAGCATTTTCATGCCTCTGCTTACTGTGACAGTCTATGACAAATCTTGTGTTGCCTTTTTTTTGGCTGTGGATAACTACATGCAGTATGTTTGTGTCTTTTCTTTTTTACTGCCCCATGGTTTGGTTTCGTGTTACAAGCAGAAAAACTGTTCAAGACCCCTACCCTATCACATTCCTACTTGATTTTCCCCCTTCACTGTAGCCCCCCTCTTCCAACCCACAACAAAAGTTACCACAGAAGGTTTCCTTTGTATAGAATATTTATTTTGAAGCTCTATTTTAATAGTATTTATTTTAGAAAGTCTACTATTGTAAGAGTTCTTCTGTTTGTGAAGAAAAAAACAAGTTAAAAACTGAATGTACTGATCTAGAAAATATATATAAATATATATTGTTAAATATACACAGGATGGCTGTTTCTCATGTGTTTGTGTGTGCACACCCCGAATGCCCTCACCTAGCAATGACTCAGAAGAACAAAACACCTGTCTACCACACCAAATGTAAATGAATTTTAAAAAGCCCCAAACCAGACTTTTATAATCATGCTGATTCCTCTCAGAGCTTTGGAGGATGAAGGGGAGGGGCAGGGAGGGAAAGGCTGTTGTCTGGGCTGGGCAATCCCTTATCCTTCTAGGATGACTTAAGAACCAGGAGGAGAAAAGATTCACTTTATTATGAAGCTGAATATTGCCAGATGTGGCTAAATCCTCACCAGGCAAGCTGTTCCTAGGACCCCATTGTATCTATAGTAGATGAACAACAAAGTATAAAACTGGTCAGAATTAGGGGAGGATGAGAAAGGGTAATCAAACACTATTGAGGTTTGCCAAAATCCTGTTGGGTCCCTTTCCTTTGATTCCTTGATGCCCCCAAATATTTTGTGTGCATATACCAAAAGCAAGGAGACCTGGTGTGGTGCTGTGGATTAATGCACAAGATTGCAAAGCAGTTTGAACTGCAAGGTAAAGCTCAGCAGCTGTTCCTCAGAAACCCTAGACAGGGTTGCTATGGGTCACAATCAACTCAACACTTGAACATACCTAAAGCAAAGCAAACCCACTGACATCAAGTTGATTCCAAGTCATACTGTTGTGGTCTTTTGAGTCTTGAACATGCAAAATGTGTACCTTTTGTTTTCTAGAAGAAAAGTTTTTCTGTTGATAACTAAGTAGGAAAAGGGAGATCAATAAGGTGAGGCAGGGGAAACCTGGGCCCAATTCTTTGCTTCTCTGGCCTTGTCTGAGCTTTAGACCTCCAAACAAATGACTAGGAGCCCTGACTACTGCTAAAGAAGGCACAAAGTTTGTTCTTACCCATTGCTCTAGAATTTTGAGAAGAAATGCACCTTTGTTAATTAGTGCTTGCCTCTGACAAGGTGAGTAACTGACACTTGGGAAGACTTACTTTGTAATTTATCTGATCAGTCTCCCAATTAGTGAATACCCGACTGATTCCTTTGGGTTTCCTGCTGGGGACAGAAGTGTGGGTGGGGACATAGGACAAAACTAGCTCTCCTTTGTTATCTAATGTTTGCAATTAGAAAACAAACCAGTATAGACAAGGTTTTGAATGCCTAAGGTTTCACCTGCCGGAATATTCTTGGGGCTAAAGGTGTACTTGTTTAAAAGAGATTTTTCTAATGTGCCATCTTCATTCTTGCTTCCCAGTTATGAACAGCTTTTGGGTAATAATGGATTTCATTTATTGTATGGGTACTTTCCACAGGTACTAAGCACTGGGTGTGGCCCTGTGGGTTAATGCGCCAGACTACAAAGCC